CTAAGTCACCCGACCCTCCAAGTAGGGGCTAGGGTGTTTAGGGTGTACGGGGTTTAGAGCGTGTAGGGTGTTTAGGGCTTAGGGCGTTTAGGGATTTGGGTTTTAGGTGCCGGGTTCAAGGTTTAGGGTTTAGGGTTCAGGGCCGGGTGTCTTTGAAGGGTAAGAGTTTGTGGGCCTTGTGGGTGTTCACAGGAGTTATCAGGGTTTACAGGGTTGCATGAAGGTACCTTCAAAGGCTACTTCAAAGTGTCGTCTTAAGGGCTCTTTGAATGGTTTTTCCAGCCGTTACTGTAAGGAAATTGCATGGGTCTTACAGTGAGGGTTCAGGGTTTTCGGGCGCTGTCAGGTATCTGAGGGTTCATGTTTAGGGTGTAGGAAAACAAGAGACGAGGAAGGCATGTTGTACGCGGCGGCACTAATTATAGGGGCGAAATCAGGCCGAAATTAACTGAACGTAGCATCCCCTCGAAACCCTCGTGGAGCCCTCCTAGCAGTTATAAACCCCTTGTATTGTGGAACCTTGCAGAACCTAAAACGCTCCATGCTGAAAAGAGAAGAACCTTTGGCCCAGATAGGCGAACGAAGGGTTTGAGGTTCAGGGTTCGGGGGTACAGGCAAAACCGATTTTTTTGAGAACCATGTGCACCCTTCTCCATCCTGAGAAGTCGCCCTTTCCAAGACCTTACGAAGGACGCTGTTCATCATTCGAAGACAGTGCAGAGCACCCCTACCTAAACCCAGAACCCGAATAAGTGAACCCTTTAGCCGGTTCTGTAAGCTAGTATTGGGGATAGTGTATGATACGTTATGTACTTGGACTCTTAGGGTATGAAACTGACAAGATGCTTCCTAAAGCCATTTTGCAGGAGGATGTCCTGATCTCTAGAGGATAGATAACCTTCTCATCGCCGTATAAAAAGGGATGGTTGTCAAAACTAGGGCCCCTTGTGGGTCCCCAATGCCAAGCTGTAGGGTGCCGTATTAAGAATAGAATTTCACAGGTTTCTCGAGAAGCCCTAGAATGTTGATTTCTCAACTTCCACCCATCCAAGGACCTCTTCAAGGAGGGTCTGGGCTTCCTTAAGGACGAAATGAACCCTAAAAGGGTTTAAGGTTCATATACCATATAGGGATTCATAGTATAAGGGAATGGGCCCCCTACTTTTAAGGATCATTTGGTCCTTCAGGTTTAGCCTAAACGAACCGCGAAGCCCCAAACCCACAAACCCTCACCCGTAAATTCCCAAAAACCCTCCACCCAAACCACCAAATCCACAAACCCGAAACCCTGAACCCCTAAACCCTATAGATCCCTTATGGATCCCTTTAAAGGAACCCCCATAGATCCCTTTAGAAAGAAAACCTTATATCTTCGGAGGACCCTTAAACCGTACACAAACCGCACCGAACCTCCCGGCATCGATCCTCGGCGTCCTTCCAGCGTTGCTTTTGTCTTCTGCTTTGGGGTTTCGGGGTCAGGGTTTAGGGCTTTCGGTTTAGGGCTTAGAGTTTAGGTCTTACCTGGACCTTATAAAACCTTCCTTTTTAGGGTTCCCTATTCTGATTTGCGCATATAAATAAGTCCTTGACTAGGTAGGTTATTGGGGGTTCAGGTAGGGTTTAGGATGGGTTAGTGCTTAGGGTCTAGTGTTTGAAGGATTAGGGTGTTGGGTGTAGGTGTTTTTTCTTACTGTTGCTGGTTGTTGTTTATTGCTACGGTGAAGAGGGCTTACATATTCTGGGGGTTGGCCCGACACCCTAAACCCTTAACGGCAGCGTGTAATGTACGGGCCTTAATTAGAATAGGGTTTTTGGGTATACTATACTATATTTACAATAAGGAGCCCCCGAAATTTAATCATTAAGGCCCCTACTATACAGATGGAGGATTTTAAAACCAAAGCCTGCCTGCTGGCAGACTTGGAAGTGAGGGCACATGCGACCCCAGGCCCTAAACCTCAAGCCCCAACGCACCCAAACTCCAAACCCTAACAAACCTCAACTCCCTGAACCCTAAACCCACAGGTATAGAGCTTGAGAGCCATTGCAAGGCATCCCAAACTCCCAAACCTCACCATGCCTCAAAGGGTTCAGGTTTCAGAGCCCGGATAAAGAACCAAAGACCTAAACTCCAAACCGAAGCCCAGAATCAACCATAAAACCCCAAGCCGGAGCTACTAGCCCCAAAACTCCACACCCCAAACCGAAATTCCTAAATTCTGCCGAATGTTTAGAGTTTAGAGTTTAGGGTTTAGGGGACAACCACAACGAAGCCTTGAAGTTGGCAGGCCAGTGGAAGAAACGATAGCAGGAAGGCCTGTCACTGGAGTCACATGGGTGGTTGTCAAAATTAGGGTCCCTTTCTGGGTCCCTATTATAATACAGCACCTAATATTTAGGGTACCCCAAAAAGGGACCCTAATTTTGACAACCACCCACATGGCTGTCTGTCCCCATGTCTTGGGTTTTGGAGTTCGGGTTTACATATACTAAGGTTGAAGGTGAAGCGTTTAGGGGGGTTAGTCAGTCAATGTTAGTCACGGTTAGTCATTAGCCCTACGTACCAGAGTTTAGGGCTTAAGGTGAAGCGTTTAGGGGGGTAAGTTAGTCAATGATGGTCACTGTTAGTCATGAAGGCATCATGAAGGTTTAGGGCCTTAAGCCCCACAATGCCAGGCGCCGGTTTGAAACCCAGGGCTTTGTGTTTGTGAACTTGACTTGGGGCTGGGATGTGTCGTAGGACCCAGTATGCACGAAGCCTCAGACGTAAGAGAAGGGCTGATACAGAAGTAAAGCTCGCAAACAACATGGGTGTAAAACTCGCTTCAAGATGTTTCCGCTCTCTTGCATGTCTGGTGGGTTCAGAGCATTGGGCTTTAGGATATACCCTAACCCATTTTAGCCTACCTTTTTTAGGGACTTATATCAGGAAATCACAATAAGAAACCCTAACAAAATAGGTTATTCATGGCTAAGGTAGGGGTTGGAGCTTAGAGTTCAGGGATGTTCGAGGTTCTGAGTTAAGAGATTCAGGGGCAACTCGGCGACGAAACTGCAGTCAGGATAAGAACGGCGATCATGATCATCTGGACGATGGCCATATGTGCCCAAAGCCCTTAGCCCCCAACGCTACACCCTAAGCCCAAGCCCTCCAAACCCTATCTCAGGGGGCGGAGTACCACAGCCCAAAAAATTTTCAGTACTGGCAGGACGAACAATAATGGCGGGACGAAAACCCCAAAAGTTTAAAAGTTACCTACTCAGCTTCCAAGCTATCGATTCCTGAAACCTAAACCCTGAACGCAAAACCCCAAGCCCTATAAACCCTGAACCCTGAATCCTAAACCCTAAACCCCTAAACCCCAAACCCCTAAACCCTAAACCCTAAACCGAGCTGGGAAGCCCGGCCCCCAACTTCTCCAGTTCTCGGGGCATTCACCGCCATCGTTGGCTTTTCGCTCGCAAATGGCCTGCAATCAGGGAAGGCTCGGTACTTCCCCAGCTTCTGAGCTAGTCGCAACCTGGGTTCCTGTGTGTCCCCTTACTAATTAATTAATGCACGCCGCGAGACTGACAGCATCAGCAATATTATTATAACCTAATGTTATCATGCAAGCTGTATGGCTTCTAAGGACCCCCCATAAACCCTAAACCGGTATTTCCCGGTTCCAAGTTCCAAAGCTAGTAGCGCCACAATGGTCGGGTCTACCAGCTTTCTGAGCTTACAGTGGCTTTCTTTAGGGTTTAGGGTTTAGGGGTTTAAGGGTTTAGGGGTTTAGGGTTTCAAGGTTTAGAGTTTGGGGGTTTAGGGTTACCCTAAACCCTAAACCCCTAAACCTTTAGGGTTTAGAAAAAGCAAAGAGGAGCCACCAGATTGGAACTTCCGGAGTTTCGATCACTTTGCCCCTACAGTAAAGAATAGCAGAACCTGCGGCGAGCAGAACCACTACGGTTTAGGGTTTAGGGTTTAGGGTTTTGGGTTTAGGGACCACTCTAAGAAATGTCTTTAATAGGGCTAGTGTTGATCGTACCCGGCAGAAAGTACGCTAGTAGGTGAAGGAAGAAAGGAACTGACATCATCTGACCTTGATCTTAGAATGCCAGAGTAGCGTCGCATAGGGACGATGTCAGGTTAAATGTTACTGTGTCTTCAATCCTTTATGTTAAGCATCCAAAATTTGGGCTCAGACTTACTTGTCCGTGAACCAAACGCCAACTTTTGGCATTACATAGCGACTATAGAGGGTTGAACGTTGCATACTCTGATATTTGCTGGATCGTTCGTTGGTTTCGGAAACACCTAAAACCTAAACACTCTGATGATCACTCTGATGAACCCTAAATTCTAAACCCTAGACGTAACTCCGAATCCCGAAATCTTGGAAATCCTACACCCTAAACTCTGAACCCTAAAAACCCTAAACCTAAAGCCCTTCAAGCCTAAACCGTGGTATGGGGTTGGCAGGGTTTTGGTTTTGGCCTGCCCGAGGGCGAAGTGAACCGGCACATCGTACCAGAGCCCTGAGATGGGGGGATCTCTGGGCTGCCGAAGGCTAGCATAAAAAGGGGTCCTTTAAAGGGTACTATAAAGGTTCCTTTAAGGGATCTATAAAGGTTCCTTTAAGGGATCTATAAAGGTTCCTTTTAAGGGATCTATAATTTTGGGGTTTAGGGTTTAAAGTAGCAGCCAGCAAGTTGGAAACCCAATAGCCTCAATCCTTAAGACTGATGTATAGGGAATCCCAGCACTATTTGGCCTTAACCCGGTTTCCAACTTTATGGGGTTTGCTGTAGGCTAGACCCAAGAGTAGCCTAGGAATATCCCTTGAAGGGATTGGGTTTAGGGTTTAGGGGTGTAGGGCTTAGGGTTTAGGGTTTTAACGCCTAGACCCAAGACTGACCTAGGAATGAAAAGGGTGCCCTTTTTGGTTTAAAGGGGGGGTATAAGGGAACCTGAACCCTACAAAAAGGGAATAAGGGCCGACTGGTCCTAGTTGGAGTGTAGGATTTAGAGTTGAAGGTTTTATGGTTCAGGGTTTAGGATTTGGGGTTGAGGGGATCATCAATTCATGGCTCAGCTCTCTTCCCCAACAGCCGGGCCAAAAACAGCTCCAACTCGCAAAGATACATATATGGCCTACAAGTTTAAAGTTTTCCCATTAGCTATAAAAGTTAGGGTTTAGAGGGCTCATGGTTTGAAGGCTTAGGTTTTGTGAGTTTGGGCAGGTTCTTGTTTGGGTCGGTTATTATGATAAAGCTCAATATGGATTTTGTGGTGACCCTACCCAACGGTAGGATTTGGTAGGGTTTACCTAGACCCACAACTACCCTCTGTTATACCCAAATACCCACTATCTAGGACTGTAAGGGCTCTATTGGTTAGGAGGGTACTGGGGGGTCCTGGTAGGGTTTTAGGGTTTAGCAGGTTTAGGGCTTGGGGTGAAGGAACCGTGGGGCAGCTTCGGGCGCGGATTTTAGGAAAGGTATTAGAGGTGCAGGGTCTAGGGTTTCTTTCTTGGCTGACTTCTGAAGCCCTCCGAAAAGTTAAACTTTCGCCTCCTTACTATACTTCATATAGAAACCCCAAAAGTTGAAGTGCTAAGACTCCTAAGAGCCAACCAAAAGAACGCCAAGGTTTAAGGTTGGGTGTTTAGGCTTTCGGAGCAGCAAAAAACTTTAAGTTCAGCTTTTTCGGGCCGCTACGCCCAAGCCCTCCAAGCAGGAACGCGCAAAACCCATCGATCCGGATTGTGTCAGCGATGTCGCAGTTTAGGGCCTAAAGCTTGGGGCTTATATGGGTGCTTGTCAAAATTGTGGTCCCTTTCGGGTACCCGAAAAAGTAGGTGCCGTATGACTAGAAGGACACAAAAAGGACCCTAATATTGACAACCACCCATAGCGATGCCCGGGACGCTGCTAGGACTGCTAGGACCCTGACCCTCACGATCGAACCTCCAGCCGTGGGGGGGGTTTCCGAAAATAGGGGACCTAATATAGTACCCTGAATAGTATGATCCTTATTATAAGGACACGCAAACAAGGTACCCCTAGTTTTACTCCCATATCGCATTGCGAGATGCCATTGACCCAGTGAAGCGGTTCCTCTTTCTGCGCCACCTGCCCCCACGCGATTTTCTCACTGGCCCCAAACCCAAGGAAATAAAAGTTCAAACTTTCAGAATCGACTTCCTTGGACCTTGTAAGAGCCCCAAAAGATGAAAAGTTGAGTTTACAGGTGCCTCTTCATTCACTGAAAAGATTAATGTATCCTAGAGAGTTCCTTGGAGTTTTCCTGAATGCAAATGTTAGTTTACTCGGGGCTTACTTTATGATTTTATCAGAATTATACTTTGCATGTGGGCAGATTGTCTGGCGGATTGCTGTATCCGTACAGAACTTGAATCCGAGACAGGGTTGGTAACACATTGTTCAATTGTTCGTTTGAGTCATAAACTGCAGCTCACATGGCATTGTTTTGGGATAATCACGAAAAATCCAGGGATTCAGGCGGCCCGCTTTCCGGAAAAAATCCGATAAAAGAATCGGCAAAAGTTTAGGGTTTGTCGGGAAGAGATTAGGGTTTGTCGGGGAGCCTTATCTTCCGACAAGATCTTGGAGAAATCCTGAGGCTTCCCCCCATGTAGGGCCTGGGCTCGTTTTAGGTTCATGGTTTCGGATTTACCGCTGGGTTTTAGCTCTATGACTTTGTAGGGTTTAGGGCTGCCCAGCCCCCTGAGAACGGTTGGTGATATAAATCCTGCATTACCCATAATAAGGACTATGCCATAATTCCCATAGTTTAGGATCCTTAAGGAAGAATGCCGTTCTACAGTGCACGACTTGAGCGTCGGGGTCCCTGATGTGGGGTTCAAGAGGGTCTGGATCCGAAGGTTTTGGGGAAAGAAGGCCCCAAACCCTAACCCCTAGACCCTAAACCCTAAACCCTAGACCCTAAATCCTAAACCCTAAACCCTAGACCCTAAACCCTAAACCCTAAATCCTAAACCCTAGACTTAAACCCTAAACCCTAGACCCTAAACCCTAAACCCTAAATCCTAAACCCTAAACCCTAAACCTTAAACCCTAGACCCTAAACCCTAAACCCTAAATCCTAAACCCTAGACCCTAAACCCTAAACCCTAGACCCTAAACCCTAAACCCTAAATCCTAAACCCTAGACCCTAAACCCTAAACCCTCAAGCCTGAAGGGTTGCCCCCCCCCCCCTCGCCGGGATGTTGAAGTTCATGATGGCAACCTGGGCCACTCCGTACACTGAAGTATCTAATGGGTTTAATAGAGCTGATAACTTACCTTTGGTTACCCCAAGCCCCCTTTTTCCCTAAAGCGCCACACCCTAAACCCAACAGCCTCAAGACCTAGGCTGCGAAGTCTCGTGGTTCGTGTTTTGCGGCCTTCTGGGCTCTGGGCTTGTAGGGTTTGCGGTTTGCACCATGAAGTTGGTTGCTCCGCCCCCACTACTCGTGACGCAGGGAATTTAGCTACCATGATTGTTGATGGTCGCTTTCGGACCGTATCAGTGTTTGGGCACCCATCCTATACTACTTCGTGGTCAAGTACCCTATCCCATAAAAGTGCTAAACTTTTTCAAGAACGGTAAGATTACATAAACCCCAGAAGACTTAAAGGCTACCCTCTCAGCTTCTGAGTATATCGGTGGTTGTCAAAATTAGGCTCCCTTTTTGGGTCCCTATGGTAATACGGCACCTATTATCTAAAGGTACCCCCAAAAGGGACCATAATTTTGACAACCACCCTTCAAAGGAAGGGGAACCCAAAACCCAAAACCCTAAAGATCCCTTATAGGGACCCTTAAGGATCCCTTTAAAGGGATCCTAGGAGTCTCTTCAACCACCCGTAGAAATCTCAAGATGATGAAAGAGCCTCGACCGAAGAGAAGAGCAGCTGATCGACTAGCTGACTGGCTCACTGCCATCTCAATAACCCTCAGAGGGTTTGGGGTTTACGGGTTTAGGGTTTAGGGTTTAGGGGTTTAGGGTTTGGGGTTTAGGGGTTTAGGGTTTAGGGTTTAGGGGTTTAGGGTTTAGGGTTTAGGGGTTTAGGGTTTAGGGTTTGGGGTTTAGGGGTTTAGGGTTTAGGGGTTTAGGGTTTAGGGGTTTAGGGGTTTAGGGTTTAGGGGTTTAGGGGTTTAGGGTTTAGGGGTTTAGGGGTTTAGGGTTTAGGGTTTAGGGGTTTAGGCTTAGGGGTTTAGGGGTTTAGGGGTTTAGGGGTTTAGGGGTTTAGGGGTTTAGGGGTTGAGGGTTTAGGGTTTAGGGGTTTAGGGTTTAGGGCTTCTCAACTCTAAGCCCGAAACGCTTAAAACATGGTACACCAACTTGGGTACGGCCCCCATACAGTAAGAGTCTATGATAGGGCTATTATTAAGGTCCTTATATCTCTATATTATGACATGAATATTATCCAACTGTTACTGAGTGGGGGCCGTACCCAATCAATAACCCTCAACTCCAAACCAACAAACCCCAAACCAATTAAAAGAACCCGCCGGGCAAGGAAGCTCAAAAACAAAGGCTCATGGGCAGCGCATCTTAGCCTCAAGCAAGGGTGACAACAATATTCCTGCATGAGTTCCAGGATGCACCTGCTTGTGTTCATGTCGAAGTTGCACATCTCTTCTCCGTCCTGAGTCACGACCACCTCGACCGTTCTGGGTCATGCAAGTCGTCCATCACCAAGCCAGGTATGTGCAAGAAAAGTGTCAGCTGCTGGATACAATGAGCTGCTGGGTGATTAACCTACAGAAAAATCCAACTGCGTCGTCTTTCTAATGGAACTTCTCCCTGCTTCCAAAAGTAGGCACCAAGAAGACCCTTCGCTTGGTGCACACGAAATGTATGAGCCCAGCAGCCATTAAGTTCTCCCGCTGCCTGAGTAAAACTACGATACAAGTAAGGGTCGAATTAACTATTGCACCGTGGGGTGTTGGTAACAAGGCGAATCCTACACCTCAAAAACTAGAAAACTAGACGCTTGAATGCACAAGCCCGCAGGCCCGAAACTAAACCCTGATCCCTACACGAAACCGGTTCAAGCCTAGGACCTGTCGTTGCCTCACAGTATCCTAAACGGATGAGTGTGCAAACTTCAGTGCAAACAAAATACTTGGCAATTGGGATGTATTGTTCGGCACTTGGCACGGGTATGCTGGCCAGGATTTAAACTCGACTTCCCTAAACAAAGCCCTATGTTCAAGCCTGAGATCTGTCGTTTGCCTCACGGTACCCTAAACTGATTAGTGTCCAAAGAGCCCATTGGCCAGGTGCTTGACAGTTGGGATGTAGGTTAGTATTTGGGGGAGTATAATATATCAGTTGCTACGGGCATGCTGGCTAGGACTGTAACCCTGAACCCCTGAACCCCCAAGCCTCCAACCCCTAAACCCAAAACCAACGCTGGGACTTTTTGAAGGATGTATCTAAGACTTGCTGCGACTCGTAGGAAGGGCAGGGTTTAGGGTCTAGACGCTTAATGTCTAGGAGTTGAAGGGTTTAGGGGTAGTTAATGTGAGGCTCTAAGGCTTATATGGGGGGTTGGGGTTTGGCGGTTTAGGTGTTTAGGGTCTAGAAGTGTAATAACTCAAGGGTTTGGGGCGTAATTAGTAGAGTTTAAGGGTGAGGGTTCACGGGTTACATCAGGAGTCTAAACCGAATTTGTCTGAAGGTTCCGAGATAGCTATAAGCAGTGGCTTAAGTCCTCTGGAGGCCATATTGGTGTTGCAACATTTCGTTAGCGCAACCAGCAGCTTTCAGCTAAAAATGGGCCTAAAACCCAGAGCGCGCTGTGCCACAAATATCGAGGAGCTGTCTCATCCAAGCCGTTGCCATTGTTGGGCTCCCCTGCGCAAGCACTGGTTCAATGCTTAGCGGAGAGACGTGTTCTATCGTGCTTAAAGCCTAAACCCTAAACCCTATCAGGGATCGATCCATGCGATGTGCATGCACTTTTGGAGCTTACCCTGAGACCCGAAGGGATTGGGCGATCATGGACCGCACAACCACACTATATCAAGCGCCCAGCATACAATTCCAGTTGAGGAACCTTGGGTTTAAGACTTTGGGGTACGGGGTTTCGTGGACTTTAGAGCTGAGACAGCAGGAACGTAACTGCAGAATCCAGGCAACCTCCACTCTAAACTCCAAAACTCTCCCTCCTCTTACCCAGAGCCCAAATCGTCCACGATACCCTAGAGCCCTACACCCCAAACCCAAAGCTTAAACCCTCAAACACTGAAACCTTGAAATCCAGGTGCACCGGACACATCAATCTCCGGGTAAGCTGGTATCCGCTCGTATGGAGTCATGTCGGGGTTGCCAGGGTTTAGGATTTGGGTTTGAGGCTTATAGGGTTTAGGTGTTGAGCCCTAGGTGTCGAGCCCTAAGACCCCGACGAATAGTGTTGCTAATTATTCCGGTTTCTCATGGGGCGTTCAAGTTTGGAATATCAATTGGGTTTATGGGGTGTTAAGGCTTTGCCTCGAACGTCAACTCAAACTTTTTGTGGAAACAGGCGGAATACTTCCACAGGACACAGCTAGCCCCAAGTTAAGGACCTATATACAGAAATCATATTCCAAAAGGGTCCAAGTATCATCATGGGACATACTTAGGACCCCCAAAATGCCCTATAAGTATATACCAGGATGATACTTGGACCCTTTGGGATTAGGGAACTCTAAACAGGTAGGTTCTAAAGGGTCCAGGACGGTTTAGGGTGTAGGGCCTCTAAGGTCTGGGGGCCGCAGCTTGAAATCTCGTTATCTACTATTTGCTTAAGACCCCCCAAAAATAAAAAATATATTCCTTATGGGGGGTAATATAGGGATTATTATTTTCATTTTTTGGGGGATTCTTAAGAAAATAGTAGTTATGGTCCTTCCGACACCCATCTACTGTAGCTCCTGTTGTATAATACAGGGGCCTTAGCAATTAATAATTGGAATAGAAATTTGGGGCCATTATAAGTTCACTAAAATCTGATATTCAGGAACCACCAAAAGAGTATAGGTAATTATCAAGGCCCCTGCACGATATGAAAGGTGGCTGCCTTTGGCCCAATTCCAGTAGCCCAGCTTGCCGGCGTTGCCACCTGCCCTGGGCACACAACTCAACTTTGACTTCAACATTGCGTTCCTAAGTCAAAATCTGAGGAACAAGGCTCCTATAATGGTTTTGTACATGATTCTCTCAAGGGCTGCCGTACTATTACCAACAAGATCCGCGATAAGTCCGTCAACCTGTGATCTCACAATTCCGGTCCGAAACCAAACCGCCTCTCTAACAGTTTCAACCGACATGGTTCCCTAACATGAAAGGCTGAAAAACAGTACCACTTGCCAGGCCACTATACTACCCAACCCGCCAAACACCAATCACGCTCCTAAACCCTGAACAATGAAACAAAAAGTCAAAACCGTAAAAGCCGTAAACCAATGCCCCAAAGAGCAAACTTCACTTACAAGTCAGTCCCTTTCAGAGAAACCCGAACACAGAACGGCTTGAAGGAATTCTTCCCCTACACCCTAAACCCTAAACCCAGCGCAGACTGATGCTTCACCCCTTTGAGCTCACCGCCAATGAGCTCAATACTCGTTCAATACGAAATATTTCTTCCCAGAATCCGACCTGAAACCGGGCTAAGCTACCGTAAAAGGGTTCCTTCACAGACTCAAACCAAGGTGGGGTTTGCAAGATCCAGGTACACCCTAAATGCTACGTCACATTTCTATATAACGACATGAAGAAGTTCCGACAAAGTGCTCCACGAGCGATTTATAAGGCTTAGAATCAGATAAGACCGTAGATTTAGGTGCCTTTAACTCCAAATCCTGTAAGACTACCAAATAAGCGACAACAGTGTAAACCACAGCACCTAGAACAACCCGCAACAAACGCCCTCAACAACAACAACTACAAAACCAGGAGGGAGAAAGACAGAAAGAACGAACCCACCACCCCAAACCAACACGCGAGCCCCTGCCAAACACTCCTTCACTCCCAAGTATAATAGAAGTTCGAGGGCGTGCAACATGGTCCTGCTGTCGAGAGACCCGTCGATCCAATACCTTTGCTATGTTCATTCAGTCGTATATGGGAGTTTCCGACAATAGGGGACCCCAATATAGTACCCTAAATAGTAGGATCCATATTGTAAGGACCTCAAAATAAGGTACCCCTATGTCCGACCCATATGTATATGTAAACATATCATACACAGTCATTGTTTGGTGGGGGGTGTTTGTAAAGCTTTTGCCCGGATGGTTCCGAGCTTTGAGATATTTCGCAAGGGCCTACCAAATCTGCATGGCTTCCGGTATCAGGGCTAGAGGTCAGGGTATTTCGGGGTCTAGGAGTGCAAGAGTTCATGTTGAAGGATTTGGGGTGAAGGGGTTGGTGCTTAGGGGATTTAAAAGTTTCGAGTTTGGGCGTCAGGGTATGTTTAATGGCTAGGGTGTCAGGGTATGGGTTTGAGGGCTCAGGGTGTAGAGTTGAGGGCTTTAGGGGCTAGAGGGTACTCTCGCGCTTCAGTTCCAGAGGGTCGCGGGTAACTGAGGGTAACTAAGGGTTTATAGGGGTGTAGGGTTTAAGGCGGGTCCATGCTTGAGAGAAGTTGCTTCGTGTACACTCAAGCAAAAGTCTACGAGTCTACGGGGACGTTGAGGCGATATCATTGCGAAGCGACTCAGATCTTCGTCTCGAAAGCTATGAACCCGACACATCCCGGGAAGAAAACCCCTCAACCCTAGACGCTGAACCCTCCCTTAGGCCCTTCACCCCAAACCCCAAACAACAAAACAACCCATACCAACATGAAACCCCCTTTAGAGAAGCCCGTAAGTATAGATGCCTAATGGAAACACTTAAAGGAGCCCTTAAGAGAACCCTTACAGTGCAAAGGATGCCTTCGAAAGAACACCGAAAGACAAAGCCCTATACACTTAAAGGGCCCCTGAAAGCCGGAGCCCTAAACCCTAGACCCAAATCCCTAAACCCTACAAAGGACCCGGAAAGCCTATATAATCCCTATACACCCTATATAAACCCTGCAAAGGATCCTGAAAGCCTGTATAAAACCTAAGCCCTAAAACCTACAAAGGACCCCTAAAAGCTCATATCATATAAACCCTCAACCCTAAAACCTACAAAAGGACCCCTGAAAGCCTCAGCCCTGAACCCAAGCCCTTCTCGCAGCCACGGAGCCAGTCCTCGCCCTGAGGCTCCTTGCGGGAAAGTTCCGAAAAGCTCCCGGGTTCGTGGTCTTCGGGTTTCAGGGTGCCCAAGGACCCTTTAACAAAGCCCGTAAGGCCCTTAATAGTGGGTTTAGGGTTTAGGGTTTAGGGTAGTTGGGATACAATAGAGGGTAGTTGCGGGGTCTAAGTAGGAGCTCCAGGGCTTCAGGGCCTTAGGGTTGAGGGGTTTAAACGGGCTGTAGGGAATCGGGCTTTAAGGGGCTTAAGCGCTTTAGACTTTTCGGGGTTTCGGGGTTCAGGGGTTTGGGGTTTCGGCTTTTACAATTATAGGGTGTGAGGACTTGGGACTTACGTAAAATGTTTTAGGATTTGAATTTATGTTTAGGAGGGATATATGTTATGGTTGAAGACGCACTCCTAATAAAGGGCTGTTGGGAACCCTCCACTGTGAATCTCACTGGGTAAAACCCTCCCAGAACATACCCCACTCTTTCACGGAACCCCTGTCTCAGAACATTCCGTGAAGCTTAAGGGAGGTCTAGGGGTCTGGTACTTGTTCAAAACATCGTTCCGACTGCCTAGGATGCCCGACACTGTTTCTGGGGTTTAAACTAGGGGGTGCTTTTAAAGCCTTTGCAAAATATTAGTAGGTAACATCCTCTTAGGCCCAATAAGAGCAGATATAAAATGTCCCAAAGCCCTACCGAGAAAACTTTTGGGAGTGAGAACCTGCCGATCGCATGTCCCGAACCCCGGTAGGATAGTTCCAGGCGGTGCACGGCCGCCATGAACGTCTGATTATAGGATCCTTCAAGGGATTGGTTCAAGGGGGGTTTAGTAATTTTACTCTTTTAGGGTTTAGTGCATGATAAAAGGGAGAATTACGGATTACGACATATGTTCTATACCCCCGTTTAGAACCTCCTCCCCTTAAGGATCCTATAATCTGAGGCTTCGACTTGAGCTTCCGTGACGAAGCCGTTCGAGTTTTCGAAGTCCATCTGAAGGATTCCACTCGGGGCCCTTCCCCCCTCTAGGGTCCAAGGACCCAAGAATTAGCTACTCGGTTTGAGGATAATAGATATGCAGGTTAGCATTTTGGAGGGTCTATGATAATTAGGTACTTGGACCTTTATATTAAGGCCCCTACATGATAGTACCCTTATACAGTAAACCCCATAAAGTTGCAACCGGATTAAGATCAAATAGTGCTGGGATTCCCTATACATTACTCTTCAGGATTGAGGCTATGGGGTTTCCAACTGTTGGGCTTCTACTATAGATCCCTTATGGTAACCCATAAAAAGGACCCCTTTATATTAACGCCCATACATGAGAGTACCTTTATAGACCCTACATTATAGTACCCTTATAGATCCCTTAAAGTAACCCATAAAGGGAGGGATCCCTGGACCCTCGGGGTTCTAAAGGGCTCCAAGCATGGGATCCAGGTAGGTGGGTAAATCCAAGGTCGAGTCCTTTCTTAAGTGATTTTAGGGTTTTCGGGTTTTAGGATTTTAGGGTTTTAGGATTTTAAGGTTTTAAGGTTTTAGGGTTTTAGGGTTCGGGTTTCCCAGACCCCCGGGAGGATCCAAAGAGTAGATCCCTTAATGGGGGTTCCTATAAAGTACCCCTAGTAGCCTCGGGCCCCAAATTAGGGGAATCTAGTTTCTAGATTCTAGATCCTCCCGGGGGTCTGGGTAATCGGTAAGGGATCCTCATTGTAACCCTAAACCGTCAAGCCCCAAAGAACCCTTTGCCAGTACAAGCCCTCATCCCATCTTTTGAGGCGCTCGACCCTAACTTTATCAAAACGGCTTTTGGTGCGTAGGCGTTTAGGGTTTAGGGTTTAGGGACTGTTTTTTAAGGTTTAGGGTTTAGGGATTTTTTTTAGGGTTTAGGGTTTAGGGTTAGGCGTTTTAGGAATTTTGGGGGACGTGGGTTTCGGGACCAGGTTCCTTTGATCTGTCAGGGCTCCTTTCAGCGGGTCTATAAATACCGTACAAAAGGTCGAAGGGGTTTTGGGTTAAGTTAGGATTTCGAATTTGGTACCTGTACTTAGCCCGAAAAATACCGTTTGCAGGGCTCCCTAGAAGTATTGTTCCATGGGGCCAGCATGCATGCGCCAGACATGGAAACTGCACCGTGGTGGACCCTCGCAAAGACTCTAGACTTAATGAAGGTTTAGGGTTTAGGGTTGGGGCTAGGGTGTCTGGTTTAGGGCTTAAAGTTTTGTCAACCCGGAATGGACCTTAAAGTCAATCCCGGCGGGGTCCTTGTAAAGCCAACCGAATGCACCCTCAACCCTAGCACTCTTTGAAGCCGAACCGTAAACCCGAAACTTGAACTGGGCTCGTGCTAAGGATGGTCTTCTATGTTAGCATAACGAATAGGCATCTACAGGCGAATACTGGGGTTCTCTCATTATGGTAGCTTCAAGTAAGCTCCTTAGCAAGACCACCCTTAACCCTACATCTGAAACCCTAAACGCTACACCCTCAGTAAACGCCGGAGTCTATAGCCAGGGCCGACAGATCTGAATGCTATACGTTTTAGCATTTCGGGTTTAGGGTTGCGGATGTTTCATTGTGGTGCCTTTGATCGGTTACCTTATAGGATCCTAGTTTTTAAAGAAAATACAATGGAGAGTGTAGGTAAGTTTTTCCTAGGGTAATTGGAGGGGCCCTTAATCAGGACCCCTAGGTATATACCCTTAACATAGCCATTATATACCCATAATACAGCCCATTAGAGGGTAGGGGTCCCCATTAAGGTTCCCTCCTTTTCCCCTTTGAATAAAGGAACCCTAAACCCTAAACCCTAAACCCCTGTGCAACCCTTAAAGGAACCCTAAAGATCCCTTTAAAGGAACCCTAAGAGCCCTAAATTAAGGGTCCCTCATTTTCCCTTTGAGTTTTGAAAGCGAGCCCACAAGGCCCTGAGGCACAGACGGTTTGGGGCAGGCGAGGGGCACTCCTTGAAAACCCCTTAAGTTTAGGGTTTAGGGTTTGGCGGTTTAGGGCTTAAGGGTTGAAGGGTTTAGGGCTTAAGGGTTTAAGGGTTCAGGGTTTAGGGGTTTAGGGTTTAGGGTATAGAGCGCTAGCCTACAGGCGAGGGTGTACCACAAAATCATATTAACCAAGCCACCTCCGCCAAGCCGAGCCAGCAGAAATGGTTGCCACCTAGGCGTTGGTCCGAGAAGTTTCAGGGCTTATCCCTGAGCCTCCAAGGGCCCACGTTTTAAGGTTTAGTACGGTTTTGGGGCCCATTATACTATAGCGATAATAAGGAACCCCCAAAATAGTGTAGGTAATTTATTAGGCCACTAGATACCCCATGGGTTTAGGGTTTAGGGTTTAGGGGCCACAAAGACCATGCCATTCGCGGTTGCTGGGCGACAATCAGCCGTGGAGTATAGTTCATGGTGTTGCTTTTGACCGGGGGGATGGGTATAGCATGAGTTTCAGGACTTCATTGTTGCACTACATCCACTTCTTTGGTGGGATCCTCTGTTTTGAAGGGCTGAGAGAAGCTGAAACACCTTACAACATATTCAAGGCGGAGAAACAAGTGGTCAGGGCAAACTTCGCCACTGCATTGCTTCTGGCTGCTGCTGTCGTTGGTGCGTGCTCCTCAAACCGCAAACCCTGGACCTATTACAACCTTATATCCCGAAGCCCTGAAAACCACACCCCAAACCCTACACATCCCTAGACCCCCTTTGGGTGGTTGTCAAAATTATGGTCCCTTTTTGGGTCCTTATTAGAATACGGCACCTAATATTTAGGGTGCCCAAAATGGAGCCATTATTTTGACACTACCCATGTACACTCTGAAACCCTGTCGCTCTGAGGCCCTAGGCACTCAAGCCCTGACTGAAGCCAAGCCCTGAAATCCTTAACCCTCCCTGGACCCTAAGGAACCTACCTTTTTAGGGTTCCCTAATATGATTTCTTTAGATACGTCCTAAAACAGGTAGGTTACTTGGGGTTAAGGTACCAGATCCTTTGCAGGAGCCCGTAAAAGAAACGTCAAAAGAACCCTTAAATGGCCCTGAACCCTCAAAAGAACCCTTAAAGGAACCTGAAAGAACCCCAGGAGGTGCTTCCTGAGTTCCCAGCAGATGTGTCGCACGAAAAGGTTCCTACAGACTCCATCAGTTGCGGTTAAGTTGAAGGGGTACTAGGATGCCTACTATTTGCTTAAGATCCCACCCAAAAAATAAAAATATACTCCTTATAGGGATAATATAGGGATTATATTTTTGGGGGGGGTTCTTAAGCAAATAGTAGATGCCCAGCAACCTAGCCAGGGTTGGCTCCTGGCTTAGGGGCTTTATCCTAAACCCTAAAGTGGCCCTAAAGCCTAGGGCCCTAGGGTTTAGGAGCTACTCGGAGGTTAGGGCTTAGGGTTTAGGATCTAGGGTAAGTAAGAATTTTGTAACTTAAAGCCAAATTGATTAGGGCCCCTGTTGAGGTACTTATGACTCTATAAACAAGCTACTTACAAAGTCCCCCGACCCTGCAAGTAGTTGGTTTAAGGTTCAGGGGTTAGGGCTAGTTGAAGCTTCCGAGCACAATTGCGATTTTAGGTGTAAGTATCCTTGGATGAGGGGTTGGAGGTAACTACGAGGTCTACACAACATAACCCGGCTACTTTGCTTAGTGCACTGCTGCCTTGTGGCGCCGGCGCAGCTTGCATCGACTTTTGTTTCAGGAACGAGATCCCCATGCCCGAAAGGCTTCGAGGTGTCAGTGACTCCGAAAAGTAGTGTCAGGGATTTTTTCCGTGTTTAGGGTTTAAGGGCCCCAGTACTCAGCTGTATGCCATAACATCGTGCGTCCCGATAAGACGAGTGCGCTGCACCACTGCTGCCGTGCACGTGCTCATGCGCAACATGTGTGCCAGAATCCCACATGGGCACTGTTCCATTGACTCTTGTGGATTCACTGGTCCCTACAAGTCCGGCTACAGAACCTGGGATGCAAAAACCCAATTCATTATAGGCCCAAGCCTGCAAAGACAGGTTTAGGACTCTGCTCCGTAATTCCCTAGCCTGAGGATTCTCGTCGAACGCCGTTCTCAAACCTCAGCCCTAAAACCAGCTGATGTCTCTTCATGGTTCAACTGGAGACCCTACACCCGCTTCCTACTCCCTGAAACCAACAAAGCCCAGACTCTCTTCTGCGTTCGTGATGGAAACGAGGGTCGAGTCGTGGTGGTCCTGACCCGAAGGAATGTGTGGCTGCAAGGTTTACCAAAATGCGGGAACATATCCCTTTGACATCTCGTACTTCTCTTCGTATGATTATGTCTGCTAGCTATGCTTGCTGCCTAATTATTTTAAAGTTAGGGTTGCCCCGCGGTCGTTATACCCTGTTCCTGTTGAAAACTACCCACGGGTTTGTTGTTGTGGGGCTCAGGGCTCGGTTTTTGGGGGTGCAGGGTTTGCGCATCTTCGGGTAAAGGGTTGACCTACCCCCAAAACCATAAACCCGAAGCGCCTAAACCCGAAACCTCCGAAACCGCTGCAAACTAAACTAGTTATACTCCCATACTTGGAGGGTCTTCGTTAGGGCGGCTTAGGAGCTGCCAGCCTCGACCTCTCCTGTTTGAGTGAGTCGAATTGGTGGCTTTTTGGACGGGTTTCACCAAGGGCCCGGTCCAAATGACTGATAACTATTACTTTCCCAACTATTAACCGACATCAATACTATGGAAACCCAAGTACTCAATCGTGAGGTCCTTGGACCCTTAAGAATCGGGTTTATGAATTAGGGTGTAAAACTTAGGTGACTCACGAGTGTCGTGGTGTTGCAGCTACACACTAAACCCTAAATCCTTCCTCCTTGAGATAGCAGGAATTGGAAGCATGTTTTGGCGGCTCGGATTTAGATCTTATTAGGTCTAGGGCCAGGGATGGTCCAAGGCTTATCCAGTACCTCAACCTTAGTGTAACCAGCGTTGTCAGGGTTGAACAAGGTAAGCGTTTGCTTGACCAGGTGAAGGGCATACAGCTTGAATCGCAGTCTTGCGGGCCTGTCTTTCAAGAGAAATACACAAAGAAACCAAGATACGGAACCCTAAGAAGTAATATTCCTGAAGTCCTGGGGTGCCGGTAGGACTGCCAGGCTTCTGGGTGGTGCCCGGACCGGCGCTCATGTCACGCCGCCATGCCAGCAGTCAATCGGGTTTAAAGTTTCTGGCTGAGCCCTGACATATACAGAGCCCTACTTAATTGGTACCTCAACTCCCTCCCTTCATAAGGACTATACTGGAGACATTAATGAACTATATGTATCTATCCATTCAGCAAGGCTGTACACAACAATAAACTTCCTGAAGTCGCTGACAAGAATCGTTACTGAAATCGCAGCACGACCCTGAGCCCTAATCCGAGTCGCCATTGAAATCTTAATGCGACCCTGAGCCCTAATCCACGGAGCCCAAGACCAGGCAATCAATCAACATACCTTAAGCCACCTAGAAATCACAAACTATTCCCTGTCTCAAGGTCAACGTGCCGAACCGTAAGTTGCAACCCCTGCAAGTCGTAGAACTTACAAAACAGTTTTATTTTTCAACGGTAGCTAACAACTACCCGTCCCGACAGCGCTGGATGGCTTCTTCGTAAACGCAAGGCCGCAGAAGCGCACGATAGCCTCAGATGTACCGTGCCAACACAAACAGCGAAGACCGCGTAATTAGGGTTTGGGGCCTGGGGAGCCAGTTAATCATAATTTTAAATGTTCGATGGTAGTTTTTGAAGCACTTCCCAACTACGATCCTGAAAACCTTTCCTATTATGGGTACGCGGTCAACGTTGTCCATATTGCGCTTCCATCTGACCTCGACTTAAACTGTTAAGTTTAGGGTTTACATAGGTCAGGGGACGTAGTAGCATCGATGATGCTAGATGTGAAGACACCACAAGTATAGGAAACTTAAAGCCCCCGGTTACGGCCCCCCGTTCAACCGATGTCCTACGTCCCACGAGCCTGTAAATCTTAATGAAGTGTGGGATGAAGGCGGGAAATCCCAAAAAAACGTTGCCCGATACGGATACTTTCAACAGCTGTTGAAATCTAACATGTCAAAACGGTGCTTCTTGCTAAAAGAGTGTTGGAACTTCTGCGCAAAACCAATGACCGGGGTTTGGGGGCCTCAAGTTGCAAGGCTTTGGGCAATGGGTTGGGTAGATACACGCTTCGAAAATTTGGGCGAACCCAATTATGATCTGTCAGATCTTTTCAAAACATGTCCCTGGCCCTTAAACCCTAAACCGTCCGGCGGATCAGCCGTACGGCTATGACACGCGTTTGGCGACTTCCGGAGGAATCAGGAAATGAGTCTTTGGGGCTGAATACCCTACCCCAAGCAAGGTTAACCCTTTCAACACTTGTAGGAATATACACACCCCAAAAGGTCAAAGATTACCTACTGAGCTTCTGGCGAATATAGGATTTGGATGAAGATTGAGCTTTACAGGCATTGCTCAAACGGAATTTCAAGCTTCGGAGGGCAGGACCACTAGTGACGAGGGGCCGGCCATCCGGCGAGAAACCATGTCACCGAATGAAGAGACCCTGAAGCCTTGTCAACAATATTAGTGAGTATGAGCAGAAACTAAATCAGTCACTCAGCCCTTATATAACAGAGATGGATGCGCAGGGGACCCTAGCAAGGGCGATGCACTCATCACATGCGTCATCAGGCCAATGCAACCCTGCACCTGACAACTGCTGAGTGTTGCGAGGCGGCTTGTGACTTAATGCCTACGCGGCCTGGCCCAGCCCGGCTTATGAACAGATACCCAATGCGACTTCGAACGCATGGAAAAACAGCCAACATACAGTTCTCAGCATTCAAGCTTCGCTAAACCTTGCCTTTCTCAGCATTCAAGCTTCGCTAAACTTTGCCTGCAATTAGCCTACAAAACCTACCTCGGTAAGGAATGGTATGAACAAGAAACCATACATAAGGATCCCAACTTTCTCGGCGAACCCTACATGCTTTAGAACTCCTTCTCTCCTCCGCCTTTTTACGTCTTGTTTCCGGCTACAGACATGTCAGTGAAGCACAATTTCTTGCGGGTATTTGAAAGCCCCTACATCTCAAAAGGAACACCAGTTAAAACTTAAAGCGCGCGGATCCTTCGAATACCCAGTTCAGCTATAGCAGCTACCTCAAAGAAGCTGTCACCTCTACCCCCCAGATGTGCGCTAGAAGCCGGCCTCAAACAATTCTTGCTTTCCCGCATCATAGCCCGCGAAGCTGAGTCTTGTCGTTCTGCCGTGGGATAGGTAATACCAGAAGTTTAAACGAATGCTTTACGAACTCAGTTACCAAGTGCGTGGCTGGTTTGTACCCACAACTGGCAGTGAAGAACTGTATGTTCTCTTCAACTACGATGCCCCCTGCAGTAAAACATCGCAGGACATTAACGTAAACAATATCCACAGACCTTGAACCATAAACCCTCAACCCTAATTTAACCCTAAACCCCGCATTAAAATCAAAACCCTGACCTGTAGGCTTCAGACCCCGAACTAAGTACAAGTACTGCATGCAAACACTCCAATGTCCCTGAATCAAGGAATACACCTTAAAAAAAAAAAAGGATCCCTGACATGTGCTAAGAATATTCCTCAATTAAAGGATATTGGAGTCTCCGTGGTCTTAGGGATTGGTCTGATGATTCAGTCGGGGTTTAGGGTTTAGGATGGTTCGGTCTGCGACTGTAAGGGCCTGTTGGTTTTGGACGGGGTGAACCCAGAGACTCAACAAATCCTTAGCAAGGATTGTAACATAATATAGTCTGATAGAGTAAAGTATGACATGATGCAGTATATCATAACATACTGAGAAACAGTACTTTGAGTAGGGCCTGGAACTAATTTGTTTTTTTTTTTCTTTTGGCCGTGTGCTTGGCCTAAAGCATAGGAAAGCAGCTTCTTTTCCTCCGCCTTACAAGGGAAAACACTACGTACATTTTGGACGGAATTCTATGTTTTTCCTAAGCAAGACACTACTTTCCTACGGATTCTTTGTTCTTTCCTTCGGTTTTGCTTGGTAGTTCCTCGGGAAAACACAACGTATATTCCTACGGATTCTGTTTCATGTTCTGAGGTTTTGTGACCTCAAGAAACACAGCAGGATCTGCTGAAACCGTTGACTGGGGGTTTAAGCTTTCATTTGGAAGATTTCGGCATTTATGTCGGGTTAAATGCCGAGAGGCCGAAAAAAGCCAAGAAGACAAAAACCCGTACGAGACAAGAAAGCAGTATGCTCGAAGCCATGACAGCATAAGACGTTGAGAGGTTAAAAAGGGGTGCAGATTGTTTTTGCTCCCTTCTTTGTTGCTTCCCTTTTTTTCTTCTGTCTTCGGGGTGTTGGTGGGGGAAACAGCCCACTTTGCTGCAGCCGAATGTACGCAGCGCTGCTGGCTCGCCCCTTCATCTGAGACGCCCTGGAAAGTACCATGATCGAAGACGGCGGCACAATTTTAGTGGAAAGCGGAAAGCGTTCAGGGCACGACGCTTCGCCAGCTCGCCCAAATTACCTTATTTCAAGCCTTACAGGAATTAAATAGTGCTGTAGTTGTTATTCTTATTGTACTTGTTAATGTTAATGCTATTGTTATTGCTGTTCTTGTTGTCACTATTTTGTTGCCATTGATATTATCTTTATTATTAGTGATACTAGTGTTGTTGCTGTTGTTGTGGTTGTTGTGGTTGTCGTGCTTCTTCTTCTTCTTGTTGTTGTTATTATCATTGTGGTCGTTGTGACTGTTCTTGCTGTCCTGTACTTTAGTATGAGTACACTATATAATCTAATACAAGTTAATATAGTATCCCGAAACATAAAGTATAACATGATATGATATGAAATAATATGATGTACTATGATTTGATGCCATAAAATATGATATAATTTAATATGATATATGTAACAACATAAAATACAACATCATGCAGTATACTAATATACTATCAGATGACAAAATACTCTACAGATACTAAAAGATGATATACTTTGATACGATTCGATATATTTAAAATAACATGATACAGTACCTTAGTACCATATAACACCATATGGCATAATATAAAGCAAAACAATGACGCACCCCCTTTTGCAAACAGAATGCCTTCATGATGAGCTTTGAGAAGCTCCAAAACAGCTTTTTGTTTAATGCAAGTTTTGTTCATGATGCGATGTTCTTGAAAACAAGCCTGCGCGGCTTAAAAAGAAAGCCGGGGGGTTCCCCCCCGTTTGCAAACACAATGTCTGCATGGCGGGTTCTGAGAAGGTCCATATGGGTTTCTGTCTTTGCTGGCAAGATGATACCTGAAGCGATGCAAAACGGGGACGCGCCTCCCCAATTGGAAACAGAATGCTTGTTTGATGTGTTCTAAAAAGCTCTCAATCTTGTGTTTGGTGCAGGTCTTGTTCGTGGTGTGATGTTCTTGAAGGCAAGCCTGCACGGCTTAAAAAGAAAGCGGGGGGTTGGGGCCTCCATTAGCAAACACGACGTCTTTATGCCGGGTTCTGAAAAGGTCCATATGGGCTCTGTCTTTGCTGGCAGGATGATGCTCGAAGCGACCTTGCTCAGTTTAAAAAATGTGAATATAAAGATAGTTTAACATGACATAACATAATGTAATATAACATAATATCATATAATTAATTATATCATAAAACAAAATATAACATGACAAAAATACGTTAAAACATACAGAAATATATATCAATAATATATGACATGACATACTATGATACATTGTAATATACTTTAATATAGTATAACTTAGTTTACTATGGTGTAATATAATAAAGCAAAATATGATACAATATGATCTAACATGAAATAATACAAGACAATATACTAGAAGATAATACACTTCACTATATGTGTATATATATATATATACACATACATATATGTAATTTGATATAACATAGTATATTCTAGTACACGAAGCTACAAGAAGTCGAAACGCCAAGAAGCCGAGTGGCCGAAAAGGCAAAAGGCCACCTCTGCTCACCCTTGCTTCGAAAGGTATACTTGTAACCTTATATACTTACTATACATCCTGAAAACTGGACTAGAAGACCAAGGGCTGCACCGGACCAGGGGACCAAGAAGACCAAGGGACCAGGGGACCAGAGGACCACGGGACCAGAGGACCAAGGGGACAGGAAAAACAAAAAGGGGCATACAAAAAAGGGAGTGAAGAAATACGCCCTCCGTTAAAATGCCGAGAGGCCGAAAAGCCAAGAAGCCTAGGAAACCAAAATGCCAGGAAGCTATACAAGACTAGAAGGCAGTATGCTCCGAAAGCCAAGAAGCCAAGGAAACCAAGAAGCCAAGGAAACCAGAAAGCCATGCAAAACGAGAAGGCAGTATGCTCCAAGTTAGGATACTAGAAGAAGACGAGGGGGCATCGAAAAGCCAAGAAGCCAAGGAAACCAAGAAGCCATGCACGACAGAAGGCAGGAGAACCGCACGTGCACGCACACAGACAGAACAAACAAATCACAAACAAAAAATAAGTACGCCTCCAGTAGGGTATAACTTCGTGGCATGGACGACACTGCAATTGGGGTCGTACATCGTGCATTCCCGAATTCAAAGGTTTAGGACTTCCTGGATTGGCTTCTGCAGGACTCGGGGTTTATACGGTAATTGAATCAGGCAGAACAGGTACAGTAGAAGCCAGAAAGTCGGAACATCGTTGTCCTCATGGCTTTAAGGTCAAGTAGAGGAAATCCAAGCACTAATTGTACTGCATCCATGTTCCAACTTTCTGGAGCCCCACCATGAGGAGTACGACCCACCTACCAGCCTAAACCCTAAATCCTAAAACATACACCCACCGGTTTGTCTGAAGGTATACCAAGGTAACCCTAAACCCTAAACCCCTAAACCCAAAACCCAAAACCCTAAACCCCAAACCCTAAACCCCTAAACCCTAAACCCAAAACCCAAAACCCTAAACCTAAAACCCTAAACCCTAAACCCTTCAGTGCGTGCACTGGGGCCTCCTGGCATTTCAAGCTCCGAAGCCCCAAACAAGAACCCTAGATCTGAGCATGGGCATTGCCAGGGTTTAGGGTTTAGAGTTTAGGGTGTAGGGTTTAGGGTTTATAAGGGTTTAGGGTTTAGGGTTTAGAGTTTAGGGTACCTGGAGCCTAAGGTAGGTTATTTGGCGTTAAAGAACCCAGGGTTTAGGGTTTAGGGTTTCAGGGTTTCAGGGTTTACCTGGAGCCTAAGGAACCTACCTTTTTCGGGTCCCCTGATATGATTGCCTTATACAAGTCCTTAAAAAGGTAGGTTACTTGGGGTTAAGGCAGGGGTTTGGAGCTTGCGGCTTAGGGTATCGGCACCCCTAAACCCTGAACCTCAAGACCCCTAGAACCCATGAACCCCCAAACGAAGACAGGGTAGGGCCTATAACCCCCAACATCGTAGGATTCATGTCAGGATCCCTTATAAAGGCACAAGGTTTTTCAATCAGGTTCCTATATACATGAATACGGAACCTGAAGGAACAATATTGGCAATTCTTCAGGCTTCAATATTACGTCTTCTCAGTTCTCGAATTTCACTGATTACCGGATCCTGACAACAACGAGGGTTATCCAAAAACGACCCTGCACCCTAAACCCGAAACGCTGAACCCTAAACCCTGAACCCTAAACCCTGAAACCTAAACCACTAAACCGCAAACCCCTAAACCCTTAACCACATCCTACACTGTGCTGCGGCCTCAAAGCTCAAGCCATCTCTGAATTACTTAAGCTCCTAACGTGTAGGGTTTAGGGGTTAGGGAGACCCCAAACCCTGACCTCCAAACCCTAAACCCCCAACCCTAAACCATGTTTAAACCTTCCTCTAAGGGTCCACAGGACCGAATCATTAGGTGAAAGTTTTCGGATAGTAGTTATGTAGGTTAGGGTTTTGGAGAGTGTATGATTTTTAGGTACTTGGACCCTTGGGGTCAATTAAGGAAATAGTCCTTTCTAGTAGGAGCAAGCCCGAAACTCGGTTTACGCCTCAAACCTATTTGAGTTTTGGGCTTCCTGGGGATGAAACGTTTAGGGGTTCCTCTCCAGAGAACCCAATACCCCTTAATTAAGGAATATGCCTTAAATCATAATATTAAGGCCCCTATAATTTAAGGTATATTCCTTAATTAAGGGGTATTGGGTTCTCTGGGTCCAAGCAGCAGTAGCCCTGAAACGCCTCGAAGTTCTTTGGACACTTGGCGTGGCCCAGGCCACACGTGCCTGTCGGAGTGTCGGTCTGAGTTTAGGGTTTTAGGGTTTAGGGTTTTAGGGTTTTAGGGGTTAGGGTCTTAGGGTTTAGGGTTTTAGGGGTTTAGGGTTGCTGGGTTAGGGTTTTAGGGTTTTAGGGTCTTAGGGGTTCGGGTTTTAGGGTTTAGGGTTTTAGGTGTTAGGGTTTTAGGGTTTCAGGGTTTTAGGGGTTAAGAGTTAAAGGTCATGGGCTTGCTTACCTGTGGCCCCCCAAAAAAAACCTGTTGAAGCAGTTGTAATCAGAAACCATAAAGGGAACTCCAGAAAGTTGGAATATGGATTAATGGTAGGATCCCCTATAATTTACCTTAAAGGGGTGACGATAATGATATTCCAACTTTCTGGCTTCTACTGTACAAGGTCCAGGAAAAAAACAGGGCTCGGCGAGTTTCCCTCGGACTGGCAGGGCCAGGACAAATGAGCAGAGGGCTCCGACCTTCGAGGCTTTGGGCTTTAGCATAATTTAAGGAAATGTAGTACCCCCTTTTTGGTTACCGTAAAGCCTGCTACTTCAGGGCCTGAACCATAAAACCCTCTCGGAGGTACGAAACAAACTGATTCGACACTACAAGCACTGTTATCGTAAATTTGTTGCAGCCCCCGAGCCTTATTAGACTCATAGCCGCTTATAGCAGCCTGCAAGACCTGATAACACCCATGATCCCCAAAATGTCGACATCTTCTGTCGGGGTCACGGGCGTCAGGGTGGCCTGCAGGTTTTCGCCGTAGCGCTTTGGTGCTTGACGAGCGGGGCTTGTGAGCGACTTCATGCTTAACAATTTTGAATCGTGTTTTGGTGTATACTATGTAGCAACTACTCCGGCATTTCACCAAACAATGTGGCGGCGCGTTTGAATAAAACCCCCCCCACCACAACTTTTGTCTTGCATAGTCTGGTGTCCGTGCTGTCCGTGACCCTTCGGACCGCGGTCAGGGTCTGGGTGGCTTTGATTAAGTTAGAAGGGAATTTGTGGGTCCCGGGGTTTGGGGACTTAAGTGTTTGGGATGGTTTAGTAGGTTTCTGTGCTTAAGTACTAGGCTCTAACCGGTTCTGTAGGTTTCGGGAGGTTTGGGGTGGTTTGCTTCGGTTTTAAATAATTTCTTGGAGGCTTGGGTTGATTTGGGGTCTGGAGGTGCGTAAGTAGAAGGGTTGGCAGGGTTTAGTAGGTTCCGGTGCTTTAGCCAGGTACTAGGATGTAAAGGGATGTTTAGGGTCCAGGGCTTGGGGTTCAAGGATGATTTAAGGTTTATATAGGCTTAACTAAGCAGGGTGGGTGGCGGGTTTAGTTTCGGGCTTGGAGCGGGGGTTTAGGGTCGTGGGTGCCTTAAGACTGACCATCAGCAGACAGGAGCAACCCACCCCTCAAACAAAAAAACAACACCACCAACAAAAGCGCATTAGTTAGGCCGCATTTGTTTTGGGTACCGGCTCGAATACGGAAAGCAATGCATTCAATCGGCCCACTTTGCCAAAAGGGCCGCGCCATTACCAGAACCTTTAACCCTTAAAAAAAAGGAAGTACAACAAATGATCCTTAACGACAACATAGAACCCTGAAAAGAAGACAAATGAGGCCCTAAAGGGCATCTTATGCATAATCCCATAAAGCCGTTATAGAAACTGCATACCCAGAGGGCCCATATATACTACTATTATGGAATTAGGTCCCAAAAGACCATTCCTATTATGGCCTTGGGGGCTAATTCCATAATGGTAGTGTATATGGACCCTCTAGGATAACACCCTAAACTAAACCCCCCCCCCCCCATGGAAACCTTAGAAATCAGGCGTAAAAGCCTCAAAGGAGCCCCGAGGGGAGTTGTCAAAATTATGGCCCCTTTTTGGGGTACCCTAAATATTAGGTGCCGTACTATAGTGACAACCACCCATGTGTCGCCTTCTTGGACACACTTGGGAACCAACTTGCAGACTGGTATGGGCAGGTTGAAGTAGGGCGAGGCATCGTACCACCTGAAGTGATTAGGGTCTAGATTCCAGGGTGTACGAATTAAGGCTTGTGGGGGAGGGGCGGGGGGTGTTGAGATAAGGGCCATCATACTGAATCAGAATAGGCTTCTGGGGTACATGACAAAACGATTATACAAAAAGGATGCAGCGAGAGCTCACTGATGGCCGACCGTCACTAAACGAGAGGCTTCCTGCAAAGCTCTACAGACTCTACTTGGAGGATCATGGGACTTAGTAAGTAGGGTTACAAGTACCTTAATTGGGGTTATCAGTAATATAAGCGTAGTTACCTTCAATGGGAAAATATTTGCCAATTAAAGGTCCGTGGCTTGCTCGAAGCTGAGTAACCAAAACCGTCACGCGGACTATGTCTCCGTATAGTCTGAGAAGCGACTTCGTGATGCAGCTTTAGAATGTGCTTGCCCCCATAAACCCTCCGGGCTAGAGCTTCCACTGCACGTCGCGCTGATGGGTAAACCAAGCACTGACAGAAGTGTCCAGTACAGAACTCTGAGCTCAAGCCGCGAAATGTGAACTCCCACAGTCAGTACAGAGGTCTTTCCAAGAGCTATGATACTGGTAGTGCCTGAAACCACAAAACAGTAAGTCTACACTTGTAGTCCAGTTCTGACGATTAATCCCCCCTAAACCCTAAACCCCTAAACCCTAAACCTTAAACCATATGGGTAGCATTAGGTCCCCAGCTTTCGGTGCGGGGCTTAGGGCTTTAGGGTTCAGGGCTTGAGGGCTTAGGCTTTCGGCCTAAAGCCTGAGCCGTCAACATAAAACCCTTTAGGGTTTAGGGTTTAGGGTTTAAGCTTTAGGGTTTAGGGTTTAGGGATTTAGGGTTTAGGGTCTCTAGCAGACTCTAGCAACAGAAAACTGCTTAAAGTTTAGGGCACCATGGTACCATCATTCTCTGCAAGATGGGCGCCTTCCTGTTTAACCCTAAAGGAACGGGTATTACAAGATGAACCGGTTAATAAGCCTTACTCAAGGGCTCCCTGAACCCCAAACCCCAAACCCCCCAAACATCCGATGTCCCCTGAAACCCTAAGCCCGCAACCCTTAGAGACCCCTCCTTTAAAGGCGCCATAAACAACCTAGGCTTTTAAGGACGTATTTATTGAAACCATATTAGGTGATTTCTTTACTTAACCCTAAACCCTTAACCCTAAAGTCCTTAACAGGTAGGTTATTTTGGGGTCCAGGTAAGCCCTCTGTGCTCCCAGCCTGCCATCCGCCCAAGGTGCGGCCTGTGCCTTCGTGCCTGCGGCAGTCGTCACCTCGAAGGTTCGGAGTTTAGGGCTTAGGGTTTGGATAACTCTAAACCCGAAACCCTGAACCCCTAAACCCTAAACCCTAAACCCTATACCCTAAACCCTATACCCTAAACCCTAAACCCTAAACCCTAAACCCTGAGCCCCTAAACTCTAAACCCTAAACCCTAAACCCCTAAACTCTAAGCCCTTACATCCTACACCCCTAAACCCTAACCCTAAACCCTGAACCCCTAAACTCTAAGCCCTTACATGAAACCCTAAACCCTAACCCTAAACCCTGAACCCCTAAGCTCTAAGCCCTTACATGAAACCCTAAACCCTAGCCCTAAACCCTGAACCCCTAAGCTCTAAGCCCTTACATCCTACACCCCTAAACCCTAAGGTGCTTCGTGCGCTTCCTCGTTCTACGCTTCCTAGGGGCTCCAGGGTCGAACCGGTCCGGCAGATGTCGCCTTGGTGGTGTCTGGTAAGCGAAGGTTTAGGGTTTAGGGTTTAGGGTTTAGGGTCTAGGGTTTAGGGTTTAGGGTTTAATGTTTAGGGTTTAGGGCTTCTTGCATGCCTTGGGTGGCGTGATCTCGACCCTCGGCATTGAGACGGGATGGCTGCAGGTCTGATGCACTTTCTTGACCAGGACAGCAACGGCTGCTGCATGCACATGCACTCTGTCCGAGACTGGCAGCCCTCGCCACGGATCTCGGAATCCAGCAGCCTACATCGACCTCCACTCAAGAGCCCACGCCTCAGAGACAGTCGGCTTGCTCTCTGGTTCAGCTTCTTGATCAAGAACCTGACACCGTTGGGCCTGGAACTTCTTGTACTCCGGCCGACCAGCGAACGTTTTGGCCACGTGCTCGTAGGTGTGGGAGGCCCTCTTCCGCACGTCCTTGGCCGACTGCTGACCACCCTTTTTGTTTGCCAGATGCTTGAGCGCCTGCTCCTGATCTGTGGCCAGCATGGTGTCACGCACGAGCTCTTCCAAGTCGATGCAACCTCTAAACCCCTAAACCCCACACCCTAAACTCAACCATGGGGTCAGGGTTTAGGGTTTAAGGAGTTTAGGGTCTTCCCAGCACAAAACCAGAAGGGTCCATGTGCCCGAAAGGGTTCCTGTAAGGAGCTCCTTTGGGGCTAAGGGCAAATGGCTCTTTTCAGGGTTCCTTCAAAGGCAAGGGGTTCATCCTCTACACAAATAGTGCAGACTTGGGCCTTAAAGTAGTCCCTGTACTATGGGTACTTTACAGCTAAAGTCTATACTGCTTGGGCACGTGGACCCTTGGCAACAAAATCCGGACACTACCTAGATACGTGATTGCATGACGAAGTAGCACGCAGACCGAAGTGGAATGGTTTAAGGAGACTGCTCTGGATTTGGATAGAGCTGCAACTGAACTTGACAGCAAGCGGTAACAAGCCCTACACCCGAAACCACAACCCTCAAGCCTCAAGCTGTGTTCTGCTTCGTTTCTGGGAGCTGCTTCGGTGAGACTTGGAATGTTGTTCTTGCTGTATTCTGCAAAGCAAAGATACAGCCATACATATATACATGCATATATATACACACAAACATACATAAATCGAGTAGAGGGGTTTTGCTGGTTCTGTTCGGATGACTGCTAGAAAAGCTGCTTTCAAGGGCCCAGGTACACAGAGACTATGCGTTCGAAGGCTGACCTGTGACGGTCAACGAGGTGGGCGCCATGGTCCGAGCTTTAGGAAATAAGGTGACCCCAAACCCTGCACCTTGCCAGCATCCCCCAAGTACCCTTTAATAGAGCCCTTATGGTCCTTATAATAGGGTACAACAGAGGGTAGTTGGGGGTTGCTGGTGAAAACAATTGACAAACCAAAAGCTGGCCCAGAAAGCCCAGTACCCCATATTGGCTTCAGTGCTTAAAGATGTTTTGGCAAGCAGAATGCCATTTTGGAGTCTGCTTTTGAATCGACCTTTTCCGGTCCCATTTGCATCCAAGCGCACAAAAAAGCCTTCACAGGGCAGCACTTACCAAACCCTAAGCACGAAACCGTGGGTCCTTCATTCCTTTTGTCACCAAGCAGCTAGACCTGTCCCGTGCAGTGACACATCAGGGCTTTGATGGTCGAGGACGGTGCGCCCATCAGCATCATTCTAACATAGATCGCAATAGTTTGTAATACTATCATCTCGTCTTCTCGCACTGTAACAATTGACTGGAAATTTCTCCGCAATAATCAAACGAAGCACGCAGTCTAATCTGACCAAACAGCAGCAGCAACAGCCGCACAAATCTCGACACCAGCAAGCAAAACCGACACGAGGAGACCCAAATCCAGAACTGTCAACCTCGCTTACAGCTCTTTCCAGGTTTAGGGTTAGGAAACCCTAGACCCTAGGGGTATAGGGGTTAGGCTTTAGGTTTAGGGTCTGGGGCTGAGGCTCTGGCGGCCAGCAAAGCAGCAAGCATCTTGCCATAGCCAGAATCACCACACAGAGGCTTTCCGGGCCGATACTACGGTTTAAGGTTTAGGGTCTGGGGTTTAGAGTTTTTAGGGTCTATAGTTTAGGGTTTAGGGTTTATAGGGTCTAGGGTTTAGGGTTTATAGGGTCTAGGGTTTAGGGTTTAGGGTCTAGGGTTTACGGTTTAGGATCTCGGGTTTCGTGTTTAGGATTTAGGGTTTAGGGTTTAGGGTCTAGGGTTTAGGGTTTTGGATCTAGGGTTTAGAGTTTAGGATCTAGGGTTTAGGGTCTAGGGTTTAGGGACTATACTATGGTCAGTCATTGGCTCTCGGGAAGCACGTTAGCAACTGGCAGTGGTGGACTGGCGTAGTAGGGGTACGAGTAGGCGTGGGGGTAGAAGTGGTAGTGGCAGCGGTAGCGGTAGTGATAGTAGTAGTCGCGGTGGTCCTGGTGGTGGCAGCAGTACAGGGTCAAATGATCGCCATGTGCAGGGGAAGGGTTCTCACCTTCTTGGCTGCTTGAATTATGAATGCTGTAGTCTTGTGGGGATATTAATTACCCTGAGAGTCCTCCAAGTACCTGATGATCACCTCGATGCAGACCTGCATAGCTACTATCCTAAAACCGGGAACCTCATTATTTGGATCCTTAGGTCCAATCTATTTGGAAGAAGCTTCGGCGCGCGCAGGCAGATCCAAGTGGAGCTTCTACCGCGAAAAGTGATGATTGAATTACAAGCCCAGGTCCTAACTTGTCCTCGGGAGCCCCGGATGTTTCCAACGGCTCGGATGTCAGAGCTCGAAGATAGAGGATTGAATTCAGGGGCCTGAATCATCAGAATAGGGATTTGGAGCAGGTTATAATGCGTTTAGATCTTCAGACTCTGAACTTTCCAAGGATTTCTAAGAATCAGGTTTTAGGATTAGCTGCTCTTTAGAGTTTAGGCCTTGAGGTTTAGGCTTAAGCCCGAAGTCCTAAAGCCTGAACATTACACAATGCACCGAGACCTGAAACGGTTTTCGAAGCAATGCTCTCGTTGCTGCCAAGCATTTGGTGTTCGGTGTTTCGGGTTTGGTGTCGTATATCGCAGACATACCTACGAGCAATTCTGGTCTAAAGGGGGTGGAGGCAACTCTAAACCCCAAAACACAAAACAATAAACTCCACTGAAGCCCGGAGCACTAAACCCCAGGCCCCAAATCCTAAAATCCTAAACCCGCTTCTCTGCTGAACAGTTCCGACTCCTGGATGAACCAGGTTGGCCCCTTAAAGCCTCTGGAAAATGTTCGTAGATGAGGTCCTCTTGAGCAAAAAAGGAAACATATAAAATATCCAAAAGGCCTACATGGGACACATATTCTGGCAAAGCTATGTAACGACTATGAGGGAACACTAAACCCTAAACACTTCAACCCCGAACCCTAAACCACAAACCCCTCAACCCTAAACTCCTCAACCCTAAAACCCAAAACCCGCAATACTAATTATTCCGACCCCTGGATTGAAGCACCGCCCTTCCCAGTCGCAGGGGTGGCACTGAACGACGGCTGTGCCAGAGCCAAGCCCGTCCTCGAACAAGGCCGCCAAAACCCTAAGACCCTAAGACCCTAAACCTCAAACCCCTAAACCCTAAATTTCCTAAACCCTAAAACCCTAAACCCCTAAACGCCTAAACCCCCAAACCCTAAAACCCCAAACCTCAACTAGCACCCTTGAGTAATGCACCCTGAATACCTTCATGTGGCGGTGATATACCTTCATCGCCCGAGTTCTTCGAATAAGGTCCCGGCAAGGAAGACATGTTTAATATAGGGGCCTTCATGATTAGAATAGGAATTCTTTTATTGGTTCCTTGGTGTAATAACGGGGCCTTAATAATGAGAATAGGGTCTTGGGGCCCAGTATGCTATAATTATAATAAGGACCCCCGCAAAAAAAAAACATAGTATAGGTAACTACAAAAGGCCCCTATATTACATCCTTATAGTAGCCCTTATAGGATCCCTTAAAGGACTCCTTTTACAGGAACCTCCCAAAATAGTATGAGTAATTAGAAAAGGCCCCTGTATTACACCCCTTCCCCCCGCCACCCAAGCCAAAACTCAGCCCAGAGGGCTTTAGAAGCTTCGGGTCTGGTAGGGTTTTAAGGTTTAGTGGCTTAGGGTTTAGGGGTTTGTAGGGTTTAATATTTTTTGAAGCGCCTCATTTCCAGGGTTTTGTGATTTAGGGTTTAGGGTTGAGGGGTTTAGGGATTAGTGATTTAGGGTTTAGGGTTTAGTGGCTGCAGGTTTAGGATTTAGGGTTCAGCGGTTTAGGGCTTAGGTTTGGGTACCGCCCCATATGCTAACAATCAACAATAGAGCTGCTGTTAAGGGGCTGGTAATGATCTATATTACTTACCAATACAGTAGTACTCAGCGGTTGCTGAGTGGCGGCAGTATCCAAGTTTCGGGTTTACAAGTGGTGTCGAGATCCCAAACGGCTGCTTTCGAAGATCCTTCTGCCCAAACCCCCAACAGAGGGAAATCTTGCAATCGACCAAAAGTTGACTAATTGCTTTTGTCCTTTTTAGGGCTTGTCGCGACTATAGTCTAGGGCTTGGAAGCTTATAGTTGCAAAATCCAGCAGGTGAGGAAAAACGCCCAAGCCGCCCTGAATCATGTCGCTCAAATCCATTGAAACATGGAAGCCTGCACTTTCGATTACTAGATTAGGGTTCCCTTTTGGGGTATTAAGGGTTCTATAAGGGATCTATAAGAGGGTTTTTTTAGCCATGGGCCTTGGCAATTAGAATAGGGTTTGGGGGGAGCATAATACTAGAGCAATAACCAGGAAAGCAGGGTGACGATGTACTTCGGTTGATGATATAAATCCTGCATTACCTTAAAGACCCTAAACTGTGGGAATTATGGGATATTCCTTATTATGGGTAATGCAGGATTTATATCATCAACCGTTGCGCTGGGCTTTGCTGGCCTATCATACCTGACCAATCGACGGAGGGAGACGTCTAGACACGAAGTGCCAGGGACGGCACATGAGGCAACCTCCTCGTAGCGTTTGATCCAAATCCACAGAACACGTCACCCCCCTCAACTCTAAACCTAAACTGTGCCAACCCTAACCCTCAACCAAACCCCAAAGCCATAAAGCCCGAAACCTGAAAGCCTTCAGCCCCCCTAACCCCCAAACACTTAAATTAAAGCCTTCAAAGCCCCAGACGGCGCAGCAAGTCCCGCATCTCTGTGGTGGGTTGCCCCGATTGGGAAGCCCAGGCACGAGCTTTCATGCGGGAGGACTCGCAGTGCACGTTGAAATTTGGGAGCCCGGCGTAATGCTGAGTACAGCGCACGCAGCCAGCGGCTGCAGCGCAGAGAAATTTGTACTCCAGCGCCCGCCCTTCTTCCAAGTGTCCGTGTCTTGGTTGCCAGCGGCGACAATGAGGTTGCTGTGGACAAGGCACACTATTTGACGTGCATTTCGAGCCTCTAGTGTCCTTGTTTCTCCATCGACGAAGGAGATTTGCAAGGTGCTCCTGTATCGGTTGAGGCCGAAGATCCGTCTGCGGTCTGGAACTGCTAGTTGGCAACAAAGAGAACCTCACCTCCTCATGTCGGGCATTCACCTCCTCATGTCGGGCATTCCCCTAAACCCTAAACCCCTAAACCCCTAAACCCTAAACCCTAAACCGTCGCCCCTGGCTGCAGGAGAGCCAGGTCGTCCTGCGCTCGCTGAGGGGTCCATGTACCCATATAGAAGTTTCCGAAAATAGGGGACCCCAATACGGTACCCGAAAAAAGTAGGATCGTTATTCTCAGAACCCCGAACTAAGGTACCCCTAGTTTTCGGAAACTCCCATATAGAGATACATGAGCCCCAAAGTACCTATATAGGGACTACATTAAGGCCAATGCATATACTATATGAGTACATGGACCATTAGGGAAAGAAAGGAGATCCAAGTAGTTATAGGGCCCTTCTAGTAGCCTTGTAATACCCACATAGGACAATTGTAGCACCCTTAACCCTACACCCCTCAACCCCTAAAGCCTAAACCCTTATAGTACCCATATAGTACGTACCCACATGAGCTGCTCTGAACCCCAAACCGTATGAACCCTTACAGTACCCATATGAGCTACTCCAGAATCCTAAACCCTAAGCCCTAAACCCCAAATCCTATGAACCCTTATTATAGTAACCATATGGCACTTTCCGAAAATAGTAGGATCCTCATCATAAGGACCCCCAAATAAGGTACCCCTAATTTTGGAAACTCCCACATCCCTGGGCATCACAATAGCCCAGGAAGCCTTATATAGTATGGTCCTCAGGCCCAAAGGCCTTAATATATGAGTCCTTAGATGCCTAAACCCTATAGTATATCCCTTTAAAGGACCCCTTATAGATCCCTTTAAAGGAACCCTATATGAGTCCTTAGATGCCTAGGGCTTTTTGGTTCTAGGGTATGAGCTACTGCAGAATCCAAACGAAACCCTGGAAGAAGGCCCATTGCCTCGGAAGGCTCCAAGTGGAGATCGACCACCTGAAAGCTTTAGGGGTGTCGTTTTCAGGGGGCTCCTTTTAAGGGTCCAGGGTTTAGGAGTTTAGGGTTAAGGTTTGGGGTTTAGGAAAGCTTTAGGGCTTCGTTTTCAATTTGGTTATATAGGGGTTATATAGGGACTATACTACCCAAGGAAAGGCTAAAGGTTACCCTGTTTTCTAGGATGCCCGGTGACCTAGGAATAAAAAGGGCTCCCTTGCTGATCTTGGGTAACTTTGTAGGGAACCTATAGGACTACAAAAAGGGAATAAGGGTACTACTGGGCATCCTGGGAGCGCTTTAGGGCGTCGGTTTCAAGGGGCTCCTTTTAAGGGTCCAGGGTTTAGGAGTTTAGGGTTTAGGGTTAAGGTCGAGGGTTTATAGGGTTTAGGAAAGCTTTAGGGCTTCGCTTTCAAGGGGCTCCTTTTCAGGGTTTAGGGATTCTAGGGATCTCTTCTATGATA